TAATGAAATGATATTATCTTGAAGATAAACACCAGCAAGGACATTGAAACCTTGTTGATCAAGTTCGATAGCTAATCCATGACCAAAACCAGTATCACATCCTGAAATTAAGACATATTTACCATTTGGATCAATGTTTGGTGGTGGAAAAAAATGTTGATATAATCGATATGAAGCGTACAGAATAAATACAAAGCTTAGGAATAGATACATAATAGCTTATTGTACTAAAGATATCTAACCAACTAAAAGTTTGTTCTTTTCGGTAGTCGTAGAAAAAAAAAGAAAAATGTGCGACACAGAATGACGGTAAAAATACAGGTAAAGATAAATGTTGCTTGCCACGTGTTTCTTTTTTTGTATACAAAATAATTTTTATAAATGTGTTCTATTCGTTATTATATAATAAATAACCATATAAAGAAGGGTTAGATATATTTATTAATAAAAGGTTCGAATACAAAAATTATTTTTTTACTCATTAGATTGATTTTTTACTCCTGCAGGGGAGACACGAAATGCTTGAGAAAGTATTTTATCAACTAACCAAGCAGGAAGAAGTGATAATGGAAAAAAGAAATAACTTGATTGCAAACCAGGTCTATAGCGAATTTGAGGAGTCGTACTTGTAATAGCATGATCGAGTACGCGAATAACTTTCGATGGACATTCAGAATATTTTATAAAAGGACTAGTCATTATCATTTTTAATGAATCGTTGAAGAATTGTTCACCCCATCGTTCTTGAATATCAGCAGATAATTCATGCCAAATATTTTTCAAAGAATCTTCCATTCCTTCAGTCATTGCTGTTCGCATAGTACCTGGTTCTACGATAGAAACACGTAAACCCCAAGAAGCCATTTCACGTCGAAGACAATCACTAAATGATTCTAATGCATATTTTGATGCACAATAAGCAGAAGAACTTGGAAGACTAATATAACCGCACATGGAACTCATATTTATAACACGAGAATCACGTTTAGTAATAAGTAATGGAAGAAACGTTTTCGTCATAGCAACATGTCCAAAATAATTTACATCCATTATTTTACGCATCGTTTGCATTGATATCCAATCAATATGACCGCCTGTTGCAAGACCGGCATTATTAACAAGTGCATGTAGAACTTTTGTCTTTTTATTGACTAATTCAAGAGCAGTATCAATACTATTCTGATTAGTAATATCAAGTTGAAAAACAGTTGCATTGGATGAAAGTTTATTTTTTAATGAAATAATACTATCTTGAAGATAAACACCAGCAAGAACATGAAAACCTTTGTGATCAAGTTCGATAGCTAATCCATGACCAAAACCAGTATCACATCCTGAAATTAAGACATATTTACCATTTGGATCAATGTTTGGAGTTGGAAAATAATATTGATATACTCGATAGATTATCCACAGTAAAATTACGAGTCCAGCAATAAACAACATCATATTTTGTTTATGAAAGCAGAAAAACGAACACGAATGACTATTTATCTTTTATCTTTCTGACTATACGAAAGAGTACGTATGCATTATAATAGACGTTAGAATAATATTTGTATTTCATTCGTTTTAATGTGTCTTTGTTTTTGTGATGTAGAAAAATCAATTCGAGGGATGAAGAAAAAAAGACGCAAAACAAAATCAATGATGTTACGGTTTTGAAAATGTATATAAAATATTAGTGCCGTTTATTAGAACTCTTTAAAAAATTTTACGGTATATTGGCTTTAATTACTTATAAAAACATATAAGATGAGATCAACAGTATCACATCTATATCGATAGAGATTATCGTGTAACTTATAGTGATGATCTTAGTATATAAAATGTGTCATATTCGAATTCACTCACAATATTGGTGACTGTAACGATGCTTGTCTCATTTGAAGTATCGCCTTTATTATTTCGTACTTATTGCTCCTTTTTTTTCATTCTATCTGATCAGCGGGTATATGAGTATATGCTTTGTATGAAAACGATGAGATTCTCGATAAGGAGAAATATAATAAAGTGCAATACTATGCAGTACAAACAATTCTTTTATTAGAAATCTTCATACTGATGATTAGATGTTTTATTTCGTCTAGTTTTTCAACAATAAGTCTTAGTATATTAACAAATATTTGTACTTTTCCCTATTTCATCTTATAGAAAAACAAACTTGTCGTCGAAATAATCTTCGTTCATAATCTTTAGTCTTTCAACATTTAATCATTTAAAATATTCTCTATATGTAGTTGTTTAAATCCAATGTATATTATAATATAAAAAACAGATTAAGTTTGGAATTGTGATAATTAATCAATTTCTACGTTCATTCTTTGAAACAAACAGACAATATTTTGTTTAGTTACTTAATATTTTAAATACTAGTCGATTAGAAGCATACCAAATGGATGTTTACTCAGTTGATTTCCTTTTATTTAACACAATATTCATATATTCTATTCTTTTATATTTTATATTTATTTATAAAAGAAAATATTTGTCTTATAATTTGTTGACTCGATGACATAATCGATATTTCAACTATTTTATCCTCACTAACGCTCCAATCTAAATCAAGTAGAAAATGTTATTTAGTTTCCCTAACATTAGCATAATTGTTTTGTGATGAAAAGTAAATAAATGTAGAAAATAGAAAAAAAACAAGGAACTATAAGAGATACATTCATGCGATTCTAGTCTATATGATATTTTCGTACACCAGCAGGCTTAAGATCAGTATTAGCTGCACGAATTAGAATAAAATCTGTTAGCCAAGTAGGTGCCATCGATAATGGTAAGAAAAATAATTTTGATTGCCAACCAGGGCGATAACGAATTTCGGGTCTTGAATTTATCACTGCATGTTGAAGTGATCGTATGACCTTAGTTTGATCTTCGGCATAACGATAAAGAAAATTATCCGATAGTTTTTTAGTTTGCATTTGAAAAAAATCTTCACCCCATCGATCTTGAACATCTTTTGATGATTCATTCCAAAATTTTGTCATAAGTTTATCATGTCCATCAATAATTGGTGTTTTCATTGGACCCGGCTCAACAATTGAAACATATAGACCCCAAGATGCCATTTCCCTTCGAAGACAATCGCTAAATGATTCTAATGCATATTTCGAAGATGAATAAGCTGATTTCATAGGTGTAGTAAGAATACCTGCTACAGAACAGATATTAATAACACGTGAACCACGTTTTTTTATGAGTAAAGGCAAAAATGTTTTTGTCATTGCAACATGTCCAAAAAAATTTACATCCATGATTCTTCGCATAGATTCCATTGTCATCCAATCAATATAAGCACTTGTACTAATTCCCGCGTTGTTAACAAGTGCATGAAGTATATTAGTTTTTTCTTGAACTAATTCAAATGCAGCATCAATATCTTCTTGTCGTGTTATATCCAAACGGAAGATAGAAGCTCGTTCTGAAAGATTATTACGAAGTGAAGTTTCACTATTTGAATTTAATATACCAGCAAATACATTAAAACCTTGTTTGTCCAGTTCAATAGCTAGAGTATGACCAAATCCACTATCACAACCACTAATAAGAACATATTTTCCTTTTGGATCGATATTTGGTAATGGAAAGAAGTATCGATATAATTGATAGATTGAATCAAGAAGAAGTAGTAAAACAATTAATAATATCATAGCTATAGTCAAATACAACAATGAAATATAAAGTTTATCTCAACATCAATAGTATGCCTAGCTATTATTTTTATCTTTAGTTTCAATGTGAGGACACGTCAGTATACATTTATCTACGTGTATGGTGAATAATTAAAGGAATGACTATGATGCTTTTGTAGATGTCATTATACACAGTGGAGCATTTATTTAATTAGTATATATTGGTAATAATACCACAACGACTTTCGAAATTTGCAGAAATATTTCTACTAAATACTATTTATCTTTTATCATCTCTTTGCTATATATAGAATTAAAATATATGTAATAATATTGAGTAATCTTTTTTTTTTGACGAATAGATCTACAGTTCATAGGTGTTTTTCCTATACAAAAATAAATACAAATAATTCTATCTATGCAAGAAAAAAGAGTCACTTGAATGAATTGATTCATAGAAATTATATTAATGCATTTTTATTTTCTTTATGCTGACATTCAATTTTTTTTTGCACATCGTTTTTTTGATATTTTTATATTAAATGTCTTATTGAAGTCTACTTCTTATAGTTCCATCATGATCTGTATTAGTTGTTTGAATCCTAATTTGTTGTGGATGATTTTCAGCTCGGTGAAGTTTTTGATAAAGTTTTTTAAGTTCCTTTCTAAATAGACCACTTGATAGTGTAAATAAATAGAAACTTAAACAAGGACCAACAGTTGAAAGCATACCAACAGCTGCATTAATCATATTTTCTTGAGCGACTTGAAAAGCATTTTTTGGTGCACTCGCATTTATTGCTGTAATAATTAATGCAACAGAAAATGTTAATCCAGTTATACAATATACTAATACTTGAACAAGTAACATTCGAAGCATATGTGTATTAGTCGTTCGATTAGTTATATTGATCGTCTCAGTTGTTGGTACAACACGAAGTCGTTTCGCTCGTTCAACATTTCGTAATGTAAGTAAACCAAACATAAGCATAGCTAACGACGGTGATAAACCAAGAAAAATTAGATTAAAATATGATAAAACTATACGATAAGTTCCTGGTGGTCCTGGAGGATAACATATAGGTTTTTGAGTAGCTGGTATGATGTCGATTTCGAAAAAGACAGGGACATGACTATAAGCCACCAAAATAATAAGAATAATAAGAGGAATAACTCGATTAGCTACGCGTACACTGCTCCATGCTCTCATATTTATTGAGCGAGAACTGCATAAATACCGATCAGCGCAGGCGCACACAATGAACCAAAAACCTAAACCCCTATAAAAAAAATATATATGTCTAAGAAAACATATTTGATTTAACTATACATACCTTAATGAATTTAATAAAAGCCATGTTATTTTACAGAATACAACTGAATATGCACCAGGATCTGTATCAACAAAAGCCGATTGTATCATTCTCATAGGTAAGACATAACATGTATGTAATAGTCCAATAATACTAGCTGCTAGGAAATATCGACTACATGGATTAGATAGTAGCGAACGACGAGTAAATACATAAATACTCAAGAGATGACCTAGAGTACCAGGAGGTATAACTATATAACAATAGCATCGAATAAACATCATAGCAATATAATTTAAATTATTTGCTTCTAATAGAAGACTTGAAACTGCTGATGATGACATGTTATTTTTATAAATAATGATAAAATGAGACTAATATGCTCGTTAAAATGTGAATAAAAAAAGAATTTCTTTTTTTTATCTATCATATGTCAAAAGGAATTATCTTATTCTATTATGATATCTATATATGACATATCTAGATGGCATGTAAATATGAATGAGGGTTCATCTAGTTTGCACTGCTTCAATAATTTTTAACTATAGACAATATAACTAAAGCAAACAATATCATTTCATTCATTCAAATTATCACAAAGTAGAGTATAAAAACTAACAAAAAATATGTTGTAACTTATTCAACATTAGAATGTAATATTGTTATAATAACAATAATAATAAACTCAAACAACAGAAGCTAATAATTAATACATTTTTATCTATATGCGTAGCATTAGTTTATATATAGCATCTCGAACAAAAAAAATATTTCATCTTGTCTTTTCATTCAATTCAATGAAACGAAGAAAGTAGTCTTGCAGTAAACACAATAATTATGATAAAAAATTGCTTGAATTAATAAATAAAATAAATTATTCAACTGGAATCAATTTTATTTAAATATGTATAACTATAATGACATAAATATTTTTTTAAATTACTCCGCTCATGTCCTATTTGCTTAATGAATATTATCTGTTTATTCCATAACAATGTTAATAAAATAAAAGATTCAGAAATTGCTAAATTATTAGCAAACAAAGTTCATCGAAGTAAAATGGATCGTTGGTTATATCGATATAAAACTACAATCACGAAGGATAAGAACTGACTGTACAAAAACAAACTCATCAATTTGATGAAAAACAGACTCGACTCCAACATTTCTCAAAAACAAACTACGAATAATGGCTTGGCACCGAGGGGGAAACAACAGAGACTTCACGCCTGAAGTCTAATGAAGTCTCTTGAAGTCTTCTAGAGTTTCAGTGGAAGCATGTAGTCCATGAGGACCCGAGGAATAAACAACAGAGACGTCATGTATGATGTCTCATGAAGTCTTGGAAGTCTTTCGAAAAAATGAAGTCTCGCTTGTTGAAGTCTGTTGAAGTCTTGAAGTCCGCTGGTTCCCCCTAGCTTGACACTTAAAATAAAGAACACGGTGGATTACAGGTAGTGGAAATATATTCTGTAAGAATCATAGTTGGATTAGATGTGATATGGCAAACTCATGCAATCTTGTTTTTTTTCAAAAAATCATGGTTGTATGAGTTTTTGAACAAAACATAAAAATAATGCTGTAAATACACGAAAAACAAAATATTCAATGATAATAAATTTTTTCTTATTTAATATTTTTTTTATATAATAAAGTCATAATAAAAATAAGACTTTTTTTCAAAATATAAATAATATAATATAAAGCAATTACATTTAAAATCCAAATTTTAGTAGCTGATGAAAAATAACGAGTAATTTTAGTAAAAATAATTAATAAAAGTATACAAAAAGAAAACATAAGAAATAAATTCGATATTAATTCAATATTAATTCGAGAGTTAATTATATTTTTATATTCAATAAGAAAAAAATTTACAGCTTGAACTAAAACAATATTAAAAGTAAAATTTGATAATAGAATATATTTTAATCGATACCAATAATATACTCGTGGTAATGACCAATATTTTTTTGGAGAAACAACTTCATCTTTTAACCATATATTAATATTATATTTTGATACATAATTTGTTAAAGAATAAATTCGACTTGTAAATATTCGTTTTTCACAAAGATTTAATTTTGTATCAAAACAATAAGTATTTTCTCTTGTTGAAAATAAACAATTCGAATAAAATGATGCATGTGTTAAATCTTGAAAACCATGTACTATACGAATTATATTATCTAAAGATTTTAAATGTGTCGTACATACAATACGTTTCGTATGTGGAAATAAACGAAATAAACTTTCAATAATATATTTCGTATTCTTATAACTAAGATAAATTGTTAAATTATGAATTTGTTTAAATTGATAATTTTGCATTTCTTCCATTCGTTCAGCTGTTATTGGTAATAATATTGTTAAACTAAAAAGTTTAGGCATTATTGATAGGTACGAATTAAATATTAATATATCTTGTATCGATGGTATAGATAAGTATTCTATTTGATTTAGATTAATAATAGATAAGAGACTTTCAAGTGAGATTAAACTTTTAAAATCTAAAGCTTTAATATGAAGAAATCGATAGTCACTTTTGTTATCTGGAATATCATTTATAATAAGTTTAGTAATTTTATCATACAATATATGATTATCAGATATATTACAATCAAGAAATAAATAACCAGGAAGAGTCATTTCTAATGGAGCAAAATATGGTACTGAAAATATCGAATTGGAATCTGATGCTATAAACCAATGTTTTTCTTCAAGCCAAAATGATGTTCGAAATGAATTAAGATTTGAATATGAAGAATTAAGTAGAAAAAATTTAAAATTGAATGTAATAAAATTACTAGTTAATTTTTCCCATCGTTGGGCATTAACAATATCATATTGGCCATGAATTTCAAGGGTTAAATATTTAAGATTTGGAAATTTCAATATAAACTGTTCCATAATATCCATTGATAATAAAATGTCTATAAATATTCAGAATATTTTACACATATAGCATGAAGTCTGTATAATACTTACTTTTCACTTTCATATGTAATCGTGTAAATTGTATTGATTTTAAAATAAAATCACAAGTTGGTTCTTCATTTTGAATAGACACATCAAGTGATTTAAGTAATGGTGCATGAAGAAATATTATTCTAAGATCTTTCATTGAACATTTTTCTAATTTTAATCGAAGAAGACTTGGAAACTGGATGGTTTTTGTTAGAATACTTTTTCTTAAATGTAAATGAGTTAATTGCGGTGCTATTAACATATAACTTTCACGTACGTTTCTTAATATTCGATTAATTTCATTTGAGCGATCAGTTCTTTCTCCTCGATTGACATATCTAATCATACTGCTATTATATGAAAGTGAATGTAATTGATCAAGTCTATGTAGATTAGAAAAAATAGATTCTAATGAAGTTATTTCAATTGCATCTAGTACTAATGATCGAATTTGAGTGAAATGTTCAATTTGAAAATGAGATAAGAATTGTTCGGAAAGACCTGGTGTATTATTATCATCAGAAAATCTAAGATAAATAACTTGTTCAGCTCGAATAAGACGACAAATAAGATTAAAATGAAATATTTCAATTGATTTTAAATCTAATCGATAAGTAGAATATGTACGTAGAACAGCATTCATATAATCGCTAACATCAGAAAATGTATAAAGAATTTCATGTGCCCAAAAATAATTAAATAAGATATGCAATAATTCAATTGGTAATAGATCAAATAAACAAATACGATTCATGATATGTTTTTTCCTCATCAAATATATTATGTACAATTAAGCAAAACAAATAATATACAAATATTTTTCGACTCGATATAAGTACGTATGTCAATAGTGTATATATATCTTGATTTAATTATAAATAGAGAAACGAAAAAAGAAAATTATTCGTTGATTGTTACTTTCTACCAATCTAAAAGATACATATGAAGATGACGCTGTGTTATAAATGATGATAGTAAGATACATAAAATATAAATTTCAAATGTTCAGAACTGACTTTTTTAGAATGTATTAATATAGATTATGTACACATTCTATCACGTAAAAATAGAAAAGCAAGATTAGTTATTTTGTAAATAATATTGCAAAGCTGAGAGAATGTGAAAAACGTTTGATGAATTTTTTTTTATCGTTATTTTGTTGGAAATTCTAAGAAGACCACGTGTAGACTTTTTTTTTCTCTTATCGTTTTCTTCCTTTCTCTTTTTTTTCTTTACCTGTTAAATAAATAGTCGACGACAGTGAGTATTTCTCTGAATGTTGTTTCTTTTGCATTTTTTTTTAACTATAAAGCACACCAACATCGTTATTTACAGCATTTTTTTGTGAAATTTACAGTCGGCCAGCACAACAACACGCGATGTCGATGCAACAATTAAATGACGAAATAGAAAAACTTTTTCGTGTAAGCAACAAGTATCAAGATAGCTTTATTAAACGACTTGATGATCTTTATCGTAAATTTGGTACTGTCAGCATGGAGAAGTGGCGAAATAGATCAAATAAACTCAATTCATTACTTCATGAATTGGTCGAAAAGGATATGCCTGATGTTATTGAACATGTTATACGGGAACATAAATTTGATATAAATATTCGACGTGATAAAGATGGTGTAACTCCTCTTGATTTGGCTTCAATGAATGAAAATTCGAATATGTGTGATTTGCTAGAACGACTTGGTGCCACAAATGTACAACGTGAGGACGTTTCAAAATGGTCAAGCGATGAAGAGAAGGAAAAATCAATGAATATTGTATGGCTCGATTTAGAGATGACATCTATTGAAGACCCACACATATTAGAATGTGCTGTGATTATTACTGATAAACATCTCAGAGAATTAACACGACGTAAGTTAACTCTTATTTACGCTTCTGTCCTCTTCCTACAAAGACACATAAAATAATCTAAGAGTTCTAAATAAAAGATAAGTTCTATTTCATCTTCGCAAAATAAAGTACTGTATGACTTTATTGCTAATAGGAATAATAAATAGTTACGCGAAAGGTTCAGTTGAGACTGATTATTTTTGATTATGTTACTTTAGAAATTATATGGTTAGCATAAATGAAATAACCTAAATATGCTACTCATTTCATTGAATAGTACACTTTGTTTCAAATTGAATAACTCTAGCCAGGAAACAGCTAGAGACTTTCAGTTTTCAACTTTGAACAAAGAGGTAGTAGCTTTGTATGGGAATATAAACAAAACGGCACTACCTCAAAATTTGAGATGATCTGTCGGCAAAAATTCGCAGCGATTTGTCGACACATCATCGTCCACTTTAGCATTGCCTGCTTTTGACATAGGCATTTTCCATGGATCTTTTTACCGTTCATTGGAATCAAACCATTGAGTAGAGTGCATATTCGAAATTAGCTTATAAAACTACGTCGAAGGACATGTCTTTGGGTTTCGTTTTATGAATTTCATTGTGATTATGGTCATATGCATAATATGTACATAGCGAAAAATGAAAGTCATAAAATGAAGTCCAAATACATATTATTGAACGTAGTTTAACAAGCTAATTCTGAATATAATTCTATTCAGTGGTTTGATTCAGATGAAGCATAAACAAGCTGGGGAAAATGTTTATGTCAAAAATACTCGATGCCAAGGTGATGATGCTTAGACAAGTGTCCTCAGATTCTATAATAGTACTGTTTTGTTTCATATTTTCATATAAGACCACTGGCTCTCTGTTAAAAACTGAAAATCGCAGATCTATAGCTACTTCCTAGTTAAGATTATATAATTTGCAACGAAATACAGTATTCATTGAAATGGATAGTAGTGTTATACAAGATAAATAAATACTTTTATACGTTTAGAAAATTGGGTTATTGGATTCAAAAAGGAAGTATTAGATAGTCTTGCCGATTGGCATCAAGAAACATTTGCCGATTGTGACAAGGGTGGCAATGGTTTATTTGCTGACGTTTTGAAATCAAAGATTACACGAGAACAAGTGGAAAAAGAATTATTAAGTTTACTCAAACATTATTGTGTGGAAAAGAAATGCCCGCTAGGTGGCAGTTCAGTTCATATTGATAAAGAAGTTTTGAAACTTCGAATGCGATCGGTTCATGATTATTTACATTATCGTATTATTGATGTGAGCTCGTTTCAAGGAATAATGAGAAGATGGGCGCCATGGATTGAAACAGATATTAAGAAAAACCTCGCAAGAAAAGGACAAGAATCAGTGAACCATCGAGCAATGGACGACATTGAATGGTCCATTGCATTTATGAAAGAGTTTCGACCACATTTGACAAAACGACCTGTGTAAGTGAATTCATTCAAAAATTTACTAAAAAGAAAATTTGAGATAAAGGTGACAATAGAATTGATTTTTCTGTTATGAGAATAATCCTGGCGACACATTGTTTTTAGTTTGCGAGAAACTATTATAAATTCAGTAGTGAAGTTAGGAACGACACAAACGCAATGTGAATGGAAAACTTACGGTGTAGTGAATTCTCTCGATGTCTTAGGTTTATATCGTAAAAATAATTGAACCATAGAAAAAATTGAGTATTCTATGATATTAGTAATATACTTATCAACTTGAATAGAAGATGTAACTTCCTCATATATGATTATCTGAATAATAAAAAAAAGATAGTTGAGATTAAATCGGACGAGTGATCCGTTTTCTATACTACGAAATATGAATTAATATTAGTTCGAAATCATTTTCTTTTAGGTAACTAGTCTTTTACATAGAATTAATCTATTATATATTTGATATTAAATTTTAATTTTAATATTTCTTATTGATTGTTCTTTTAGGGATCCCAATAATCGAAAACATGAACGATCAATAATACAGCAGCGTCGACGTAGCGCGTCTCCATCATTAGTTAAAAAAAATCAGTCACCTCGGAAAAATAATGCATCTAACTATAATGCACATGGCAATAATGCTTCTAACTATAATGCACATGGTAACCAAGGTTCAGCGAGCAAGTATCCCAGTAATAGTGCTTATGGAAATAACAGTTTCGATAACAATGTTCAATTATACGCAGATGAAAAACGTTTATTGGAACGTATAGAACAAGACAAAAAAATAAATGTATCTAGTCTATATTTGTACAAAAACGATCAAGAAATATACATGAAAAATCCTCACCTACGTGAAGTTTTCGTCAATAAAGATCAATTGGAGGTTTATAAGAAAGATTTTACTAAATATAGTCGTCGTTTACCAATATCTCGTCAACTGCTACGAAGCAATAGTTCTAATTCGTCAAGGTGTTCAACAACTGAACATTGGGGACAACGAAAGTTACTCCTGACTGAGATTGAATTTTTAACTAAGTATGATACTGATGATGATTATCGAGTGATCTATGCTGGTGCTGCTCCAGGTTCACATCTTAGTTATTTAAGTTCATTATTTCCAAAATTTGAATTTATTCTCATTGACGAGAAAGAATTTTCTTTAATGCCTACTGACGGCATCAAAATTAAAGCAGAAAATTTTACGGACGATCTCGCACGATATTATTCCCAGTCTAAAAAAAAGATATTATTTATTTGTAATGTTCGTACATATCGGCCGGAAGATAATGGACAGAACAGTCTGATTGAAGATATGGACAATCAAGTGAAATGGAATAATATAATGAAACCACAAGCATCTTTATTAAGTTTTCGACTTCCACGTATGCCTGGGAAAATTCTATATTATGAAGGCCATCAGATCATTGAACCATGGGCATCGAAAAGAAGTGTTGAATGTCGAATAGTTGTTAAGAAAGATGCAAAAATGATCGGTTATTCTTATGACGAGTTTGAAAATTCTATACGTCAGTTTCATGACATAACAAGAGTCATGTATTACGAACATAACATGGATGAAGTTGAAAATGAAGGACTCGATCATTGCTATGATTGTCGGGCAGAGATCTTCATTTTACAAGAATATATTAAGAAATTTCAAAAACCCAAGACTGAAAAGGACTTGAAAATTAAAACGGCTGAGATGTCAGCCGACATATCAAAGAATATTGTGGATGAAAATAGAAATGAACTTCTTGGTTTCAAACGAACACTCAATGTGATTCCAACGAAGGGAAAAATCTATTCTTCAAATTTATAACGATCTATCAGCAGCTAAAGTGACACGTGTGTTTTTGCATGATTCTTTTCTCTTTTATTATAACCATTAACAAAATTCTCTTAAAACAATTTAATGCTGTCATTCAAACATTCAGATTTCTATCATTGCTTACATTTGTAAAACAATGTAATGCTAACCTATATTTCTACAAATAGCTATGCTCTTATCCAGCGATAAGAGCACTACTTAGATCATTGAGTTTTTGAGATAATATGTCATTCACATGTTTCTATAATAATAAAAATCTTTCTAAAAAGAAACGAAAATGACAAAGTAATGAAGAATTAAACTTATATATGTCCAATGTCTGGATAATGTCTTAATATATATGAAGTTCGAAATAAAAAAGATCCTCCACTATTGTATAAAAAATCCAGATCAAAAGCCTTTTATTATCTAAGAAGGTATTTATGTAGAAAATATATACTATATCAACCTTTATAATTTTTTTAAACGCTTTATAATTGTCTTTTCGGAAAAAAAATCGTTCGATGTCGTACGAATTTAGATTATTAAACCGTTCATTTTATAACATTATCAAAATTAAAAGAGATTATTCGCGTTGTACCGACAGCTATTCGAAAGAAAAACGAAAATTTTGTAACTTATATGACACTAACCAAAAGAACTTAAAATATTTGATGACTTCTTAAGTATTTTTTCTATAGATTGTCCTTGATTATAATTCTCAAGAATATTATTATTCATTCTTATCTTCTCCTTCTTTCTGTCGTTTTTTTCTGTACAGGTAAAATTTTTATTAGAAAGACGAAAAGGAATCTTATCTTTTGTAAGATATTATTATTTTTATTACTTTCCAAGCAAGATAAGAAAAAAGATTATTTTGTCTTGCATTTATTTTACCTTTCAATTGTCTATAACAATAAAAAACAACATGCCGTTAACTCAACTCAATAGAGAATTATTAAAACTTCTTCTATTGGATAAAAATGATCAAGATAGTTTTATTAACCAACTTGATGATCTTTTTCGTAAATTTGGTACTTATAATATCGAAAAATGGCGAAATCTATCCAATAAAAACAATACATTATTACATGAATTTGTTGAGAAAGATTTACCATTTGCAATTCGTCATGTTATTAACCAGTATACATTCGATATAAACGTGCAACGAGATACTGATGGTCGTACTCTTTTTCAATTAGCTTTAGATCAGAAAAACAAAAAAATGCACAATTTTTTAAAAGAACTTGCTGCTGATAAAATACCGCAAATAGATGTTTCTAAACTACAAAATGATGAAGATCGAAAAAAATCAACAAATATCGTATGGGTTGATTTAGAGATGACATCAATCGACGATCCTGAGATATTAGAATGTGCTGTAATTATTACCGATAAGGATCTTAATGAATTAGCACAAGGTAAATTATTTTTATATTCATAGTCATACGTTCTTTATTTATTTCGAAGGAAATTGGGTAATTCATTTCGATCAATCTGTACTAACGACACTTGGTCAATGGCATCAAGACACATTTGCAGATCGAGATAAAAAAGGAAATGGTTTATTTGCTGATGTTTTAAAATCGAAATTAACGAAAGAAGAAGTCGAAGAAAAACTATTAACATTAATTCAACAATATTGTCCAGCACAGAAGTGTCCATTAGCTGGCAGTTCAATTCATATCGATAAACATGTTTTACAACTTCAAATGCCAAAAGTTCATAGTTATTTACATTATCGTATAATTGATGTTAGGGGTGATTTAAGTATTACTTAATCCGATTTTTGGCCATTTTGACCACCTTCCCTCCCCCAAATAATCAATATCCTTTATCTTTTAATGAATCAAAACTATTGAGTGTAAGCTTTTGCCTACCCTTCCTCCGCCTCAAGTGGATTACGTAATACTTGCATGACCCCTTAGTTCATTTCAAGGAATAATGAGACGATGGGCACCTTGGATGGAAAATAAAATTAAAGATCAGTTGGCTAAAAAAGGACAAGACGATGTAAATCATCGAGCAATGGATGATATCAAATGGTCTATATCATTTATGAGAGAATTTCGACCAATTCTGGAGAAACAGCAACCACGGTAAGTAATTACATTAAATATAAAACAGATAGTTCTGATTATTTTTAGTGATGTAAATAGACAACCAATACAACATCGCCGACAACGTAGTGTATCTCCGTCATTAGTTGCACGAAATAAACATGAGAATAATAATAAAGTGCAATTATATGCTGATGAACGAAGATTATTGGAACGATTGGAGCTCGAAAAGACGATTAATATAAAAAGTCTACATTTAAATAACGAAAATCAAGAAATATATATTGCAAATCCACATTTACGTGAAATATTTATAAATAAACAACAAATTAGATATCATACAAAAGAATTTACTGTTGAAGATCGTTTTCTTAAATTATCATCTAAACATTACGATAATAAGAATTTGAATGTAAAACAAGTAAATACTACTGAATATTGGGGACAAAGAAAATTACTTCTTACTGAAATTGAATTCTTAACAAATTACACTGCTGCTGGTACAAAATATTTAGTAGTTTATGCTGGTGCTGCTCCTGGTTCACATATTAATTATTTAAGTTCATTATTTCCATATCTTGATTTTGAACTTATTGATAGTCAAGATTTTTCGGTTACTGAAACTAATGAAATTAAAATTCGATCAGAAATATTTACAGATAAAATAGCAAAATCTTTTTCTGTTCTAAAACAACGTATATTATTTATTTGTAATGTCCGAATATTTGATCCGAAAGATCATGGTAACAATGATATGCAGAAGCAAATGGCATGGCATAGAATATTAAAACCTTATGCATCTTTATTATACTTTCGTCTTCCAAAGACACAAGGTAAAACTGAATATTTTAAAGGTAATCTTATTATTGAACCATGGTCTTCAAGACAAAGTACAGAATGTCGATTGGTAGTTGATCAAGATCAAACTCTAATCGATTATGATCATTCGGAATTTGAAAATGCTCTGATACATTTTCATAATGATCAGAGAATTCGATTTTATCGACATAATATGGATAAAGTCGATAATGAAGGACTCGATCATTGTTATGATTGTCGAACAGAAATATTCATTTTACAAGAATATATTAAGAAATTCCGAAGAATGAGAAATGAAAGTGAAGTACAAGATGAAATAGCTCGAATGTCACGTGAAATATCAAGAAAAATCGTGGATGAAAAAAGAAAACCAGTTCTTGATACTCTACGAACATTAGATGTTATCCCAAGAAGCCCACCAATTGTCTCATCAAGTATATGCTGCTTTTAAAAAAAGCATAATATGACAGTTTTGTTTATGTATGCTTTTTTTCTTTGATTAACAATATAAATTGTATTTTCATGTAATTATTCTTATATACGTCATTTAGACAATCCGATTGTTGATTAAATAACATTAATGGGATAGATTTAATTTTTATATTCAAATATTGAAGTAGAAATTTTTAAATCGAGATTTTTTCAAACAGAATAGTTATTAAATTCAAGATCATATAAAGAGACAAGGATTCCTCTATAAAAGAATTATTATGAAAAAAAACAATATTTATTATCATTCAATAAATGTCTTAAAAATCAGACATACTCGAGATTTATTTACAGATCTATTAAATTAAGCCTAATAAAATTGACAAACGAAATTTAAGAGTTAAGTCTTATAAAACTCTGAATTTTCTCTCTACATATGGGACATGAATGAAGTGCATATCCACAAGGTACACAAGCACATAGATGTCCACATGGCATGCATGCTAATTGTTTGTCTTCAGTAAGACATATAAAACATTCACCTAATTCTGTATCTATTGATTTTTCTAATGGTTCTTGTTGTACTACTGGAGTTTTTATTGTATCTTTACAACCTTTGATCTGATCAATTTGTTTTTTAAGAATTAAACAAGCAATTGATAAATCAATATCTGATGTAAAATCATCATTTTTAATTCGTAATTGATCTTCAAAACATCGTTGAATTATTACTAATGAATATTTAGAACGAAGACGTTCAACAACAGGTAAATCAAGTCTTGCTGCAACTAAACGACTAAGTTCATCGCTTCTTATTTTATGTCCTATCGCAATTTTCTTTTTTAATACTTGAATTCTGTCATATAATTTATCCCCACATAGATGTTTACCATAAATACAATTAGGAAACCATCGAGCATGTTCAATCACAGGATTATCATTTGGATTCCATTTAAATAATGATCCATTACAATAAAAACATGTTACTGCATTTGAAATACCGCTAAAAAAGAATCCGGCATCAACTAAATCGTTAATATCTGGAAGGTTTTGTATACATGTAGCATTCGAAAATGTTGCTTGCCGACGAGATATTTCAGCCATTGCTGGATGAATTGGTTCAAATTTTTCATTTATTGCATCGTTAATTATTTTTGGTAAACAGTCTTTTGAAGATATTGTAAGAACGAATGTACATTGTGGAGCAAGTCTTGCATGAACTTCAGCTGGATTATCATTACTTGTCCATTCTTGACAAATTGTATTACAATATATACATATAACTCGATCATTGACATTACAAGAAAACCAGCCTGCCAATGCCATTGATTCAATACTTGGTGTGAGATGCGGCCAATGTGAAAGACTACGAATTCGCGCTTGTCGAATAGACTCTATTTCATTTAAAGAATATTTTCTTTGTTGAACAATTTTTTCCTCTTTAGAAATATTTGATGATGAGAATATGATTTTATTCGGTTGTGTTAAGTTATTAGTAGTAGTCATAATAATAAAGTATAGATCGTAATGAAATAAAGAAATACATTGAGATTTTTATAGTAATCTATCCGAATTCTCGCGGAAATTTTACTGTTGTGCAATTATCAAAATTCAAAGTACATGTTACGTATTTGGAAAAAACATATTCGTGTCGAGCATCATCTTTTGTGTTGATTTTATTACAACAGATGTCTGAAGAAAAAGGAAAAAACCGTTAAAACAAAGATTTGTTTTTGTTTCATGACGACCGCATTGTTTGTCTTTTCTGTCTATACTACATACAAATAATATTTACCTTTCACATTACTTTCGTCATCATATCTTACATAAATTTCAACTAAATTGTTTTACAATGAATTATTTTATGATGAAATAATTCATATTGCATCAACAAAAATATATTTTCTAAAAGATGAACAAGATTTATTCGATTATTTTGCTTTTCATAGATTTTCCGATAGGTTCATAATAAGTAAAGTTTATTGAATAGTTGAAAAATAAAATAATTTTTTGTTTCTTGTTCGAAAATATTGAATGAGATACTGTAGCAATTATTTATGTAAAACCGAAGAAAGATAAACGGAGAATGGTTACTTTATTTATATTACAAAGTGTGAGTCATATCATGATTTTCTTCCCATACGATTAGATTGCGTCTAACAGCGATGATAACTCATGTATGGCGAAGGACAAATCGTGTTTTTTAAACTCAAGGATAATCAAGCATCTAATATGTATTATTACATCGTTCTCAAAACACGAGAAATAAAAAGAAAAGTAATAGAGAAACGATTATTCATATTCTTTTAATTTTTTATTTGAAATTTATTAACCAACTTATATAAAATACACGAAAATTGCTTCAACGATTTGATTTACTGTATGCATTATAAATAGCTTTGTTTCACAAAGAAGCTATTCCATTCTTCAATGATTTCTGGATGTATATCGTCAAAAAACAATAGTTATTATTCGTTTTATTCTTTAGTATATGATATAAATATTTGGCTTTATTTCAACAGTATTATCTCATTTGCTTTTGTTTAACAATAAGACATCAAAATAAATTATATGAATAATTTTATTGAAATATAATACTTCGAAATATTGCATACAAAGGCAGAGATTAGTAAAAAATTAAACTTGTTCAATTTTTTTGATAGAACATGAAATATCTTCACTTCTTGTACATTTCGATTTCGATCGAACTAATAAAGTAGCATCTAATGAGTCAAGGTCATATAAAAAATATAAGATTTCAAAAATATCATAACACTCATTGATTAAATGAATCATTTGTAATAGTGTAAAAAACATGACTAATAAGAATAATATATTAGAATAATTCAGATAAAATTTATGGAAGTGATGCATATATTTTACAATTGACTATTTCGATTAATCACTATTTAAATAACCTGTACCTATTAGCTATTCCAATACGCAATACTTGTAATTGGGAAGAAACGTTTTTGATAAATATTTCAAATCTATCGAACTGTAAAAAATATATATTAACAATAGTACGATTCAAATTAGTCATTATTATTGTTGTGGTTTTTTTTCATGAAATGATTTACTTCGATTCACTGCCTACAAAATATAGTAATAAGTTCATATAAAATAAATTAATCATTAAGATTATAGTAATCTGGAAAATCTGATGACATCAATGATGTAAAATTAAACTTTAACGGAAGTAAATTTTCAAAAACGAGTATTCAAATTTAAAAATATCAAATGAAAAATGTTATGGTATACATAGACTAGGACATCCATATATATATATTTTATTTCTTTCGTGTTCGTGTCCTGGTCCTTTTGTTGTTATTCATATATCTATATGTCGTTAAATAAAATAAACAGGGAGTTATGCTTTAACATAAAACGAACTTGTTGCTCTTCGTCAGTACAAACGAAGCGTAACAAAAAAAATTAATTTTATCTCTTATCTTACCGTTCTTCGTCTAACATTGTAAGATACTTGTAATATTTTCCCCCAACAATAGGAAAAAAACATCCCGACGTAGTAAACAATGTATTTCTGTTTATTAAAAGAGTATAATTATCTTTCGTTTATTGGTGATTCATCTAAATTTTAAGCAAAGAAAAATTTTCAGTAAACATTTTTCGCCTACGTAATATGAAATATAACAAAAGTTTGATATATTCTGTCTTTTAAGTGCATAATCAACGATTACATCGTCATCATGGAACAATATTGCTTTTTTTTAAAACTATTTCATTCATTAATTAATAATTATCAATTGTTCTTAATTTATTTAGTATTTATCTTAAGCGTCAATTATTTATTTGTTCATCTTAACTTTAAAGCAAAAATAATCGAATTAAATTGTATTTTATCGTTTCTGATGTATAGAATAAAATATTCTGTCTGGAAGTAAAATATTTGTTTCCATTACATTTGATATATGAATATATGATCGAATAAGACCTCGAATTGATGAATAACTTGTACTCTAAAAATTTTAGTTTAGTCACGAGTCCTTCATTATCGTTTTGAATATGATTTATGTATCTGACAAGAAGAAGATTTTATCTAAATTGTTCTATTTATGATTTATGTATCATTTCTTGTTTTATTCATGATGATGTTATGAAACGATTACATCATTTCCAATATATAGTCAGCTGACGCTCTTACTAAGAGTTATATCATGTGATGTGATAAATGAAATATTTAAATAAAATATAAATCATAAAATGATTAATTTATATCATTATATGTCAAAATATCAATATAATTCTAATATATTATATTTACATGTTAGATATTATCTTTACCTTGTGTATTTCATATATCTATCGAACAATTTATTAAAATGGTAATTTGAAAATACATTAATAAATAACATTTAGAATTTTTAGATCATAAGAAAAAATGTAGTAGAGAAATTAAATTGTTACAAAAGAGGTATGATCTTGTATGATATTTGGTGATGATTAAAAAAGACAAAATGAATTAAAATATTGTTAATAAGTATCTCATCAACTTTGATAAAATAAAAGAATTTAAGATGAAAATTTCTGTTAGCTTTCGATTGTTTTGTTGTATCGGTGGAAAAATATCGGTAGACTTATTATCTATTTTTAGTACAATATAAAAATGTAAATCGATTTATTTGTCAATCACGCAAAAACAACACCACATTTTTGTTTTTCGGTTTGCTTTTCAAAAAAAAAACCACGTGTTTGATATTAACAATGATATATATTATTTATTGATTGCTATCGCAGCATATGATATAATTTGTATCAAAATATTTAAATTTTTTCTATAGAATCGATTGTATATTTTATCAGAAAAAATGGTTAATTTAATTTTTTATATCAACTATACAAAAAGTGAATTGCAGCATTCAATATTCTATGAAATTTTTTATGTATACGTACAAATTATGTATTTAGTTGATAATGAATGAATTGTGTCTGTGAATATGTATGATCTATTAAATAAAAGAAATAAAGATCTATAAGCTATATTAAAAAAATTATATTAATGAGATAAATGCTGAGTAAAGCATCGATAAAAATTCTATAGTCATAAACAAATATTACTAATATATTCTAAACGAGAGGAAATAACACTTCAAACGATGATAAGATCTGATACTACTAGTACATTCTAAATTTTTTAAAGTGTATGTTTGATAATAGTACTTGCCTTTTCAATATTATTCATATTGGCATATACACATAATAATAATGATAATAATAATAAAATACATTGAACTATCATCTGCACTTTAATCTTAAGATTTGCAAGAGGTTAAAAAATCATCTGAGTTTATTTATGTATATAAGAAATTATAAAGTTGGCTGGAGAAACCCTTAAAATATAATGATTAGCCACTAAAAACAGATTGATGATAGAGGCATGATTTATGCTTATTTTTTTCGTAACCTTCTGTACTTCGTATATTAGACAAAAGGAGAAAAAAAAATGTTCGCAAAACACCAGATATAGACAATAAGAGAAAAATATCATGTTTTCTAGCCTCTTAACTTTGATCTTATTGAAAGATGAGGCTTTTTTTTTCTCTAATATTCGAAAACATTCGAGACGTAATTATTGTCCCCCATTGAAAAACAAGCATACATCAAAGGCGTGCTTCTCGAATTTCGAAACCTGCTGATAGCAATTATCAACTGTCAATTACTCACCACCTCTTCACTTGTTTACACCAGCGACCCTATATAAAGACTGCTATTTGCTGTAGTTTAGCATTACATTCGTATTCCTCATCCTATCCACAGGAGTAAGTAATTCATTACGCTTCTATTTGATCATATATACGTATACATTATTTTATTTTATTTAGAGCTTCCTCTTTCTCACTCCAACTCGACTTTCGTCTAATCAACTACCATGGTAAGTTCTATATATTATTTATTTATTATTCTTATCATTCATATATTGAATTTAGGTTTTTCAAACAGCATATTATTCAACAATGACAGCACCATCATCTGGCTGTCCAAGCTGTGCATTTGCTCAAAATTCGATGATCAATCGACCAATGTTTTATCCACAACAAGTTTATTATCCAGGATTTTATTAAAATGACATTGAGCATTAATTTGATCTGTCAATACAATAAAATCAAAGGAGCAATAAACTGAATTTTTTTTGTTGAATGTGGATTATACATTTTCTTTTTATGTTTTTCAAATAAAAAAAAACCAATTATATAATTATTATTCTTGTTTTTTGCACTACTATCATATGAACACATCAAGTATATGAAATTAAAATCACGAGATGAAAAAAATATTCACTATATTTATGAAATATATTTGAATAGTAATATTTAATATTGATCAAATCCGTGTATTAAAATCTATCTTAGATAGAAAAAAAGAGGAATATAAAAAATAACTGACTATTTTCATTCATCAGATGATGCGAAAAAATTTATTTTTTATTTTTTTAACAATATTTATCAAAACTAAGCATAATTTGTTAGAATATAAACAATCTATAATGAGACAAATGTATTTTTATTGCTTCACCTACCACTAAACCATGATGTTATTTATTTTTTTTATTGTTATAACCACAATTATAATAATCATTACAACCACAAAACCTATGGACATTAAACAGTTGTTGATTTCTTTGTCTCTATATGTGCATACGCACGCGGTGATGCATCACAAGTTGCGATGAATATGTAATGTAAAGAAAAATATTTATCTAGATAAGAATAAGAAAGAAATATAAGATTAATGAGGCAAATCATATGTTTTGACCTATTGACAGGATGAGTGCGCACGATCATATGATTTTTTTTTTGTATTAAATTATACCAAACAATATAATGACATGTCTGTAATATTTCGTATTTTGAAATATGATAGAAACCATGATGATTTTTTTTAGTTATATGCTTCGAGAATATTCGTTATATTTATCAGGATAAGATCAAATCGTTAGCATATGGGTATTATTTTATACTGAAGAAAAAGAAAATATTTCTTTGTTGAAATATATGATTTAAATAATTATTATTAATTTTACTCATACTTTTAATAAAATGTAAAAGAGGATTTTTCTCATTAAATAACAGATCATATTACTTGAATATTTCATTCATTTTCGTATAGGAATAAATATTAAACACAATCGTATATAGTATAGATTATGACTATATATATTCATATTATTTAATATCAGATTTAGACTCGTCTCTTCTGATATTATATAAGTTAAATAAAATTACAATATTTCGTGTCCATTGTAGATTTGAAATGAAAACAAATTCTTCTATATTAGATTTATATCTATTGATCATATCCATTAAATTTATATATGACTCACTGTGATTATTGATAATTTATTTTTTAATTTTATGTTCTAAATAATTTGAACAGAAAAAGAAATGTATTAGAAGTAATTATGTAAATTAATAAGGTTTGGGTATAATTTTTCATGAAATATTTAGTCGTTAATAAAAAAGCATATAACTATTAAATGATTTTTCTTTATAATTCAAATATAAGTTGGAAAAATTGATGTACTATTAAAAAAAAAATTCAATGAATACATATCGTCTTAACGTAGGTCACTCAAATTTAAATAAAACAATATATAATTTAGATATAAATTTTACTTTCTAGAGAATAATAACAAAATAGTATTCATATATATATATTCGAATCAATTTTCTTGAAGTCTTTTCATCAGCTACCGATCAAATACTGATTATATCATACAAATTTTATTGGCTATTTAGATATAATCGAATTCATCTATCTGAGTCAAACTAACGATTAAATTTTGATGATTCTTGAATGAATCGAAAGTTCTAGTTATTTTTTTATTAACTAAGGCGGCTGACTACACGAAGTGCAGCGGTCGACTTATTGCTTTTGATATTCTTTTTCTTCTTCTTCTTTTCGACAGATGAGTCACGATCCAAGTCCGCCACTTCTTCTTAGCACCTAAGCAACATTTTCAATCGGAAAAAAGCTTGCCATATTCGTGAGAACGTGCTGAGTGCACATCTGAAAACCGTTTTTTGAAATTCGCTTCCGTGCGAGAGATACATCATTTAAAGAACAAAATTAATTAACACATGGGGATTGCCTTATATGGTTATCTATGACTCAGTGTTATGCGACCAATGATATATGAGATACTATATGCATATACATTCTAATCATCCGTTTCTGTGACGTCAATCCAACATGATAGAGTCTAATCTATGAAAACTAATTATCTGAGTTTAATTAATTGGTTTTGAGGATAAAATAAAACAAAATTTTAAATAGTTCAGATTTCTATGTTTATCAGGATTGTTACACTTCTGCAGTCAGCCGCCTTAGTTTATTGTTCTTATCCATATATCAACTAGATTTACTACATTATATTAAATAAAAATAAGAAGTTTAGTTATCATCTATTTTCATTTGTATTTATTTATTATATTTCTCTCTATTTCGTATCGCATCAATAATCTTGAGATTTTTAAAATAACTAAATGAAAAGTAAATTTATGTAGTTTTCTATGTTAAAAATTTTCGATCATTATCAACCTTTAACACTACCTTGCAACAGAGATTAATTTGAATCTCAAGATTATTGATATTTTCATACGTTATTATTTAAAAAGTAGAATATTTAACCACTTGAATATTTTATTATATATATTGATCGTGGAATGAATTTAACAACTTTCATGTATATTGATTATGATTACTATGTGTACGACTATATAGCTAAGTTTTTTGTATAACATCTTGTAATACAGTAGTGTTAAAGGTTAATAATGATCAAAAATTTCCAGAAAGTTAAATTTTCAATATAAAAAACTTCCTTTTCATTCGTATCGCATCGTTTTTATACAAAACAATACGCTTATATACTCGTTCATCAGAGAAAATGAAAGGTTTTTTTTTCGAAATTAATATTTATTTGTAATTAATCGTAAATGAATAAATAAAATGTATCATCGATTCTCTCAAATAAATATAATGTCTGCTTAAAGAGTATTTTATGTCATAATTTCCATTGTAAAAAGATTTTATCTTGTATCCATTGAATCGTATAGTCTCGAAAGGCTTGCTGAGAATGGAACAGTCTTTCAAAATCAATAATTGCATGTAAGTTTTCGATGATATTCTCATTAATCACATTACGCACACACAATGATAGACAACATAAATGAGGTATAAATGTACTATTCTTCATTGAAATAAATCCAAGAATATTTTCTAAATCATTCTTTGTTGTATATATCATCTCGAAATATTCCATACGAGGACAAAGATACATCAACGTACGAATTTGTATCGTTTCAACTTGATTATTAAATTTTACTTTTCTAATTCTGCTATTAGTTTTTACCGAATGAAACATAGTTATTATATCCTTATTTCCTAAACAACTGAATGATACAGTTGATAAGGAATCTATTTCCAAGTATATAATATTTGGTAGTAAATGTATGATTTTAAGTACCAAATCCAAAGGAATTTTATTACTATGAATAGTTAAATGAGTAAATGGTATGACTTGAAAACAAAGTTTCATTCGATCCAAATGAAATGTATTCCAAGTAGAAGGTGAATATCCTGCGATAATCATTTGAATTGAAGGACCGCAAGCTTGATTAATTTCAAACGAAGAAGAAATATTGTTAGATTTTAATGTACATTCATCCGTCTTTTGATTAACACAGCCCATAATTTGTTCATAAGAATTGAACCATTGTTTACTAAAAGACAAGACGTTATAATAAACCGAATATTTTTTTCACTTACCTGATTGGACGAATTGAATATAGGAAGCAATTCAACTTATCTGTAAATTTAAAAAACCATTGTCGTTCAATCCAAAATGTTGATGTAAACTGAGTGATTGCTTCACGATCTGGTATCACGTCGGAAGTTCCATTATGATATACACTATAATCAAAACGAAATTTACACAAATGTGGTATATATTCTTTGATCAATCGTTCCCAACGATTAACATCGAGATAAGCTTCATCATGTGATGTCACAAGACGTAATACTTGTAACTCTGCAGAGATTTTTTTGATAAATACCTCCAATACATCAAATGTGACTAGACAATACAAAAATGAAGCATATATCAAATGAGGTAATGTTAATATCACTTCTTTTCCAATAATTTTATTCGCTTGATATAATTGTTTACAAGATAAATGTCGAAGATGAGGTGTATGATAAAGTATAGACGTAATTTCATCGACATTACAACGCATATTAATATTCAGATATTCAATAGTACTGAATTTGACATTGATAGAAACTGGTATGAGAGCACTTAAATCATCTGGAGCACTTTTTAATGTCAATTTGTTAAACTTCAACACTGGTAATTGAAAAATTAATCGATAAATATCAGCAATATTCAGTAATGATGTTTTTTCACATTGCATAGTTAATGAGAAAAGTCTTGATAGAGTGTTTAGATAGAAAAGAATTACTAAAATTTTTTCTTCAAGAACATTATTTAAAATAATTGATTCAAGACGAGTGAATGATGAATCAATGTTACAATGAATAAAAAACGTATTTATACATAAAGGATCATTAAAATGAAGTGAAAGAAGACGATGTTTATTTGGAATAATGATATGTCGAGAACGTTCTTCAATTGATAAATTTAATTTATTTGAAAGATTAATTTTCAATGGAAGCAATGACTGTGTAAGTAAATTTTTAAAACGAATATTAAGATTTAAAAATATTTGATCGGTATCATATGGATCAAGATAATCAAAAATTTCATAAAAAATTTCATTGGGTAAACATTCAAAACAAGTAGGTGGTAAACTATATAATATAAAAGAAAAAAGGCTATCATTAAATCTAACATATGTGTTTAATACTTACATTTGTTTATCAAATGTTGCTGAAAAATTCGAAAAGAAATAATAATTAATGATTTTAATAGAATAGTGTATAACTTACTTCGTAATTTTTTTATAACTACATTTGTAGAATGACCGAAATTGAATTCACGTTTGGATTGATTCATTTCAATGTCGACAAATTAACTTAGTCTATATCTCTTGGAAGTATAAATAGAAGATAAATGAGAAATAACTCTATTTTCTTCATGAGAACTTTATATAAATACTTTTTAAATAACGAAATCTAACATAGTCCTTTACAAAAAGCGAATCAATGAAGTTCGATTAGCGAATAATAAAATTCTATTAGAGAGGTCGCGATAGACTACTACCTACTGCTTCTAACATTTGAGAATCAAGTTGTAAATTATTTTCGCAAAATGTACACCGTACACTTTGTTTGTTCGAGCAAATTGTAAATCAGAATGCAAATAAAAAATTACAGTTGCACAGCACATTTTGCTTATGCTGTGTACAACTGCTATTGGAAACTCTGGACTGCACTTTACTCCGAAGCTCGACTGCTCTAACCAATCCACTTTTTTTATCATCATTGTTATAAGGTGATTTTTTGTTGACGATGTTGGCGAATAAGGTGCTACTGTTAAGGTTTGCCATAGTTCATGGCTGTAGTGGTTTGATGTATTTCTGGGATAAGAAGTATTGTTGAAATGTTGCGTATGAGCGTGTATCAGAGAATTTGTAGGCAAATGGTAAATTTATTGTTGACGAATGTTTTATACTCATTTGGCACCTAGTGGAAGCAGTGGATAGTCTGAAGGCGTTTTCCGATAACGATTTTTAATGGTAACCGAGGATGTTTTAGTCGGTAATCTGTGGATATTGTGAGTATTCTATGGGCGAAATATGATTAGTTGTTTTGCGAATGGTGCTAGTGTTTCGTGGTGCTTGTTTCACATTCGATAAGTTCCCTTTTCAGTAAACTGGAACACTGCTGATTTTCTATGTTAAAAATCTTGCTTACTCGTAGATAAAAAGTGATTTATTCGTCTTTTCGAGTGATCTCGCTAAGTACAATCTTAGGCTATCTAATAAAACCATCTCGGGAATTTTTGAAACCGATTCACTAGTATATTATGACATGATAAAGAAAATGTGCCTTCCAAGGAACATTCAATAGCAACGGTCTGAAATATCATTACTGAATAATCCAACGGTTATACTAAAATATTATGTAAATGAGTTTTGTGTTATCCTTAATCTAACTGTATGGTCTCTCTCAGGAAAAAAATTGAAGAAGAGATATCAATCTCCTCTCCTCTCCATGGCTGAAAAAAGCTTTCTCTAAGCATAGTACCATTTTGGTAATCTGCTTTTTCTTATTGTCCAAAAAACGTCCCTCGGCTTTTATAAGCGTTAATATACATATGATTTGAATTAAATTCAAGTGTACGATTTTCAATGTAGAATCTAAACAAGTGGATCCAACTGTTTAGCCTGCTAACACTTGTCAACACAAAGAAATATGTGTGCAAAAATTAGAAAGGAATCGGGAACAGTACTTTACATAAGTGTTCAAAGACTAACTATAATGGATGTTAAGATTTATATAGCGATACTTCATATTGAGAGAGGATACTCATTAGTGAAACTCAAATTGCTTGGTTTATTTAAATATTTGATTCCAATTTTACTAAAACTAAAGTATATAATACATGCATGCTCTATCTTTTAATCAAGATGATTTGTCATTGAATAGCACTTTTAACATAAAGAAAAAACATTTAGATATATTTTTCATAATACAATCGATTAACTTTATATATTATTTTCATGAATATTGACAACCTATAAGATAATTCAAGCAATAATGTAGGATACAATTTTGAATAAACTTAAAAGTGAATGTTATGTATTGTAACGAGCAATGTATTCATTATGTATGGAAATCATTTACGTAATTTGTAAATACTTTTATGTTATCTTTTAAATATTTGATAATAGGATTGAATAGCCGAAACAGATATATACAAAGAAATGAATTCTTATTAGAAAATATAGTTATATAAATAGAATATTTGAAAAAAATGATCTATCAGATAGAATATTATCGATTGTAAAAAAAAAGAAATAATGTAATATGAGCCATATCTTAAATCATATGTACTTTATTATGATGTCATTTATATATAACAACGACTTATTCTCTTCTCTTTAGAATATTTAACAATGAACAAGAGCAACGTTGAATGAAAATAAAGCTTGTAATCTGATGTGAGTATACTCTCGAATAAATATAAGTTAAATATTGGATGATTGTCTTTGAAAGAGAGAAATGATAGTATAAAAAGACATAATCTTTTTTTCAAACTGCACTTATTCGTTCAATATCAAAGTAAGAATTATGAAGATATTTATTCTTCTTATTGCTGCAATGGTTTTAATCCATATGATTTCATTTACAAATGCTAAACGTTTATATTATGATAATGATAATGATATGGAATTATCCGATAAAAAAGCACGTATGTTTCTTCGTACAATAACAGGTGAAGGTGATGATGATGATGGTGATGATGATTCGAAATCATTTGGTGTTCGTGAAATTGGTTCCGATTGTGTTCCATGTAAATTTGGTATCAATCCATGTTGTTCACCAAATATTTGTATTAAAAAACGTTTTCGTCCAGATGAATGTATGGAAATTAAACGAGGCAAATAACTTTTCTATTAAACAATTGATTACAACAGACAATTTTTGATTTTTTTGTAGTTGAAATAATATCTTCTCTTTGATTTTTAAAAAATATAATAAAACTGATGAAAATATTATTAAATTCATGTAATCAATCATTTAATTTTTATTATAGCCAATAAATTAGTTACAAAACCAAGCTTAGCTTGCTTATAGATAAAATGAAATAATTATCATCTTCAAACAATTATTCAGTTCGAGCAAAGAAAATAATAAATTAACCGCATTGACATTTATTAAATCCAGATAGAATGAGTTTGTTTAACCTTCTGTTTTCTGTCTATTTATTTTTATCTAGATAAAATGCACTTTTAATTTTTGTGTCATTTGACATTATTAGAATTTGTTATTTATGAAACTAATCGATAATAAGAAAACAACACTACTTTTATAATACCTATACACTTCGTATTAAACAAATCTTAAGTTATAAGATATTACACTGAATTATAGGAATGACTTCAGTCGACATTGATATACTTAATAATATTTGTATTTATCTTCATCGATATATAAGTCCTATTTTATATATTATTGGTAATTATGGTACTATTGTAAGTGTTATAATATTTTTTAAAAAATCATGGAAAAAAAATGTTTGTGTATTTTATTTTCTTATTTGTCTTCTAATTAATTTCGGATATATAAATTCTACTTTAATTGATTCGATTTTTACCCAGGGTTACAATATTTATCTACATAATTCAAGTATTATTTTGTGTAAAATATCTTATTATGTTACATTTCTTTTTGGTTCATTGTTTCCGAATAATATTATTTTAGCATCGATCGATCGTCTATTAATATCTTCTCAAAATACAGATACACGTTTATATAGTTCAAAACGTTTAGCTTATTTTTCGATTAGTACAAGTACATTCTTATGGATTATTTTCTATATACATGTACTTATAAAAATCAATATATATGAAATATATCCATTTGTATTTATTTGTTACTATGAAACTTCGGGATTTTATTTTGAATTTATTTCCTATTCAAATTTTATTATTGTAATTTGTTTTTCTATTATATTAATTATTTTATCTATTTTAACATTTAAAAATGTTCGAGATATTCGAACTGTTTCACGTCAACAGCGACATCAATTTCGAACGATGAATAAAAAAGATTTTCAATTACTTCGTTGTCTTTACATTCATAATATTGTATTTATTATATTTAATATATTTCCATCTGCGTATTATGTATATTTAGCAGCAACAAAAAGTCAAACACGTACATTGTATCAACAAGCAATAGATAATTTTCTAAATGGTTTTAGTATTTTTCTTCATCATATTCCGTATTGTACAAGTTTTTTCATATTTCTTTGTGTATCGAAAGCTTTTCGTCAGGAAATCAAACGATTGATATATAAAATGTGTGGTAAACAATTAAGATTACAACGAGAAGATGAAAATAGACAGGGAAATAATAGAGAATTAAATGTTGTTAGTATTGTTGAACTACCATTTTGATAATTAAATAAATATATTCCATGCTGAATATTTTTATAATGTTCAAAAACTCAAGAATTTTAATATGATATAGATTGCTATAATTTAAACAATATATCAGAAGAAATCCGGTACGTAGTCGTAGTGAATTGAAATATTTTAAAGCTTATTAAGTAATAGAGAGTGACTTACGCAAAAAGAGAATTGATGCATATCTGCGTAATAAAATAATTATAGTTATTTCTAGTTAATGACGATCAATTTTGTCACCAATCCTATCCGATTGTAGATCAGTTCTAAAGAAATTTAGACTAATTTTATCTGTTACTACATAAGATCTAGTCAAACGAACTCAATTCTAATTATTACAATTACATTCTTTCTCGTTCAAATATACTGAGTAAAGATAAAACAAGATTCTTGATACGAGCTTGAAATGTATCATACTTTGATTATGGAGATTAGAAGTTTTTACCAATCTCATAAAAACATCTTGGTCTTAAAAATTTCAGTATCCTTTCAAAAAACCCGAGAATATTATATTCAATGTTCATGTTTTCATATGATATAACTCATCAAAATCTAACAAGTAATAGTATACATATTTACCATATATAAAATGAATCATCCACGAGAAACAATATGTTCTTCTGATATATTTTTATCTATTTTAACTTTCTCAATAAACTATCATAAATCACATATTCCCATCAGAACAATATGAATAAGATTTTAGATTTAGATTAGAAATGAAAATAATTAATATTGGTTCATTACAAATCATTTACTATCACATATTCATATGGATATAATGAATTATCAAAACTTGTTTTATGAATCAGAACATATAGATAGATTTGAACTTTCAAAAATCAACAATACTTTTTCTCATTACTAATTGGTGCATCACATCTATTCATATACTTCTATTTTTGTAACCATCAATTAATATATTGTATCTATATTTAAAAAACAAAAAAGAGTTGTTTCATAATTATTTAATGTGTCACAATGCGTCCAATAATAATTCAGGTGAATTAATTTCATATTTTTTCTAATGGACAAAGTTAACAGAGAAGTTAAGTGGAAGTTACGAGACTCATTAGTTATATAACTTATTAATGCTTTTGAAAATTACGTTTTGGTAGAATCTAAATACTTGATACTCAAGTTTAACAAAGTATTTCGAAATCTACATATATATATTTAATATATTACAAAAAAGTCAATCTAGAAATTATTATCGCATAAAATAGTTTATAAAGATTAATGTTTTTGAAAAAAAATATCAGAGAGATTTCTGATCAAACACTATAGCAGAATGAAAACGTGACTTTTGTTTATTATTAAATTTAACAAAAGTATACACGAACGCTTTTATTTAAACAATTATTTTTCATCATTTTTTATCTCTAGCAAACTAGATATAGTAGATAAAAGAAAAAAAGATCATTCAAGTTCTTAGTGGCATAGAGTTAGGTACATTTAAATTTTTCATCGAGTAAAAAAAAATGTCGTCAACTACCGATTATAACGTTCAAGTACTCAATAATATTCCAGTATATCTTTATCGATGTGCTGCTCCTATTCTCTACATTATAGGTAATATCGGAATTCTTTTAACTATTTCCATTTTTCTGAAAAAGACATGGAGAAAAAATGTCTGTGTTTTGTACCTTACTGTTCATTCGTTTTTTGATTTATGTTATATAAATTTTATCATGCTTGTATATATTTTAAATTTTGGTTTCAGTATTAATGCATATACTTCTAGTGTGATTTTATGTAAACTTTTGAATTACTTACTATATACTGTTAGTAAACTTCCCCCAACTATCCTTATCCTTGCATCTATTGATCGTTTGTTACTTTCATCACAAAATGTTAACATACGCTTGTATAGTTCGAAACGTTTAGCATATTTTTCTCTTAGTATTACTACAGCTTTCTGGATGATTTTTTATATCCCTATTCCCATTGAGTTTGATCTTTTTCAACTGTATACTTTTGGTTTTAAGTGTTATATTGGCAATTCAGGATTTTATAATGTATTTATCAGTTTATTCTCATTAGTAGTCAATATTAGTTTTTCTGTTATATTAATTGTTTTATCGCTCATGGCTTTTAAAAATGCTCGTCAACTTCGATCTATTCCACGTCAACAACGTCATCAATTTCGGACAATGAACAAAAAAGACATTCAGTTACTTCGTTGTCTTTATGCTCTTGATATCGTATACATTTGTTTTACTTTATTTGCATCGATATTCAATGTTTATCTAGCATCTACACAAGATCAAATCCATACGCCATTACGATCGGCTATTGAAAACTTTCTTAGTCGAATGGCATCTTTTAGCTACCATATCCCTTTTTGCATAAGTTTCTTTATTTTTCTATTTGTATCAAAAGCGTTTCGTCAAGAAATGAAACACTTAATTTATAATATCTGTGGTAAAGATCGAACTGGAATACATGAACAAGAAAATATTCAATTACATGATCGAAGAGACAATAAAGACTTGAATATTGTAGTAAATGTTGTTAGTACTGTTTAAATATTTGTTTGATTGTTAAATAAAGAAATAAATGATTATTTTAATAAACATATTTTGTATGAATACTGCGTATATGTTATAAGTGTGAAAGTCTATCGGTGATAGTAGGCGAATAAATAAGAGAAGGAAATATTTCTCTCCAATTTTCTGATTATAATTTATCATGTCCGGACTAATAATTATCTTTTTTAAGATTATCTAATTAACTTGTTTATATTTATTCATTCTGTGAAATAAATATTTAGATGCAATAGAAAACTTTCTACACATAAATAACTTCGTTTTCAAAAAAACAAAATTCTTTGTTCTAACTTAGGTCTATCGTCTTACAAAAACGTAACTATTCTGTAATGAGAGACAGTAAATCTTATATAAATATAGTTTTTCACCAATCTTTTCGAACAACTCCTGAGTTCAAAAACTTAAGTGTCTTGTGAAAACATAAACGAGCAGGATATTATTTTGAATGTTCATATTATCATACACATTTTTACAATATATAAAACAAATTATTCATGAGAAACAATATATTGTTCTAATATATTTTCATCTATTTTAATTTTCTGAACAAACTATCATAAATGGCACATTCCTATCAGAACAATGTGGATAAGATTCTAGATTTAGATTAGAAATGGCAGTAAATAATATTAGCTCACTACAAATCATATACTATCACATATCTATATCGATATAATGTATTATCAAGGCTTATCTTGTTAACAAGAATATAAATAACCTTGAACTTTCAAAAATCAAAAATACTTTTTCTCATTACTAATTCGTGCGTCACATCTGTTCATACACTTCTATTTTTGTAATCATCAATTAATATATTCTATCTATATTTAAAAAACAAAAAATAATTGCTCTATAATTATGTTTAATATATCAAAAATGTGTCGAATAATAATTTAGATGAATTAGTTTCATATTTTTACTAATGAACAAAGTTAATAGAGTAGTTAAGTACAAGTTACCATGTTTGGTAATCATACATTTTATTAACATTTCTGAAACTTTCGTTTTGTTAGAATCTAAATAATTGATACTCCGAAAACCTATTGCGAAATCTATATATATATATATTTTTAATATATTACAAAAAAGATTTATCTGGAATTTTTCATCCTATAAAAAAATAGTTTATGAACATTTTTCTTTATCAAAAGAATATCAAAGAGATTTGTGATTGAATATAGGAAGAATGAAAACGTGACTTTTGTTCATTATTATATTCGACAAAAGTATGCACGAACACTTTTAAATACTTATCTTTCAAGATTTTGTTTTGTTCATCAAATTAGACATAGCAGATAAAAGAGAAAAAGAATATTTGATTATTTTAAACCATAGAAGTAATACGTTTCAGTTGCTTATTGATAGAAATAATGTCTTCGTCGACTGATTACATCGTTCAAGTACTCAATGAAATAACAAAATATCTTTATCGATGTGTTGCGCCTATTCTCTACATTATAGGTACTATTGGAATTCTTTTAACTATTTCCATTTTTCTTAAAAAGACATGGTAAAAACATGTCTGCGTTTTATATCTGAACGTTTATTTGTTTTTTAATTTGTGCTATATAAACTTTAGTCTACTTGCAAATATTTTAAATATAGGCTTCGATATTAATGCATATGATTCTAGTGTGGCGTTATGTAAACTTTTGTATTATGTATCATATACTTTTACTAAACTTCCGCCAACCGCTCTAATTCTTGCATCTATTGATCGTTTGTTACTTTCATCACAAAATGTTAATATACGCTTGTATAGTTCGAAACGTTTAGCTTATTTTTCCCTAAGTATTACTACAGCTTTTTGGGTGATTTTTTATATTCATACCCTCATTGAAGTTAATATTGTTCAACTCTACCCTTCTGTATTTATATGTTATTATGCTAGTTCTGAATTCTATCCTGAGTTTATGACTGTATTTTCATTAGTAGTCAATATTAGTTTTTCTGTTACATTGGTTATTTTATCTCTAATGGCGTTTAAAAATGCTCGTCAACTTCGATCTATTCCACGTCAACAACGTCATCAATTTCGGACAATGAATAAAAAAGACTTTCAGTTACTTCGTTGTCTTTATGCTCTTGATATTGTATATATCAGTTTAACTCTATTTGCAGCGATATCTAGTGTTTATCAAGCATCTACACAAGATGAAATCCATACACCATTACGCTCAGCTATTGAAAATTTTCTTGGTGGAATAGCAGCTTTCAGTTATCATATCCCTTTTTGCATAAGTTTCTTTGTCTTTCTATGTGCATCAAAAGCTTTTCGTCAAGAAATCAAACACATAATGTATAAGATCTGTGGTAAAGATCAAATGGGAATGCATGAACAAGGAAATGCACAATTACATGATAGAAGAGACAATAAAGACTTAAATATTGTAATAAATGTTGTTAGTACTGTTTAAGTATTTGTTTGATTGTTAAATAAAGAAATAAATGATTATTCTAATAAACATATTTTGTATGAATACAGTGTATAAGTTATAAGTTTGAAAGTCTATCATTGATAGCACGCGAATAAATAAGAGATAAATATTTCTCTCCAATTCATAGTCAGACTAATAACTATGTTTTTTAAACTTAACGATCTGTTTTGTATAATAATAATACCTTCATTTGACAGCCACTATATATAGTGAGTCATTTAATCAAACGTTGTTTATTTCTATTAATGTATTACTCCATTTTTTTTGTATTCTCAGTAATACCAGTAGTTTACTGCGTTTTATCATATTCATGAAAAGCACTTGGCGAAAAAATGCTTATGTATTCTATTTTCTCTTATGTGTTCTTGCCAATTTAATCTATCTGAACTCTACTGTACGCTCGAATGAATTGGTACATATGGTGTAAACATTCATATAGACAATTCTAACGTATTTGTATGCAAAATTTCCTATTATCTATTGTATCTATTTTTTGCACTTCCAGTTAATACATTTATTTAGCATCTATCGATCGTCTATTAATATCCTTTCAAAATATTTAGCTTATTCTTCGATTAGTACAAGTACATTGTTATGGATTATTTTCTATATACATGTACTGATCAAAATCAATACTCATGAATTAAATATATCCATTTATATTCATTTTTTATTATTAGACTTTAAGATTTTACGTTGAATTTATCGCCTATTCAATCTTGATCGTTTCTCTATCTCTGATCTATTTTTTCCTGAAAAAGAAATCAAACGATTTTTATATCTGATATATGTATTAGAGATTTTATTTTGATAGAAGAACACAAATCTATTGATAATGACTTACAGATTTTAATGACTAAAAAGTCATCAATGATACATTTTACATGATCTTTAGATTTAATCGAAATAAAGGTATTTCACCCTGGATGATCTTAGTCGACAGGTTCTATTGATGGCATTACTTAAAGAGGAGAATACTATTTTTGAGAGAAAAAAAAAATGTATATATTTAAATTAAGAAAATTTATCTTCACCTGTGAACTATTTGAGGTATATGATTAAACATTTTTTTCCTCATCTGATATAACTTAAAATAAATGTTTGCTTTTCGTATATGACATTTAATGTAAAATATAAGACAACTACTTTATTGATACTATAAAAATCATGGAAAACTATGCAAAGGTTTTTTTTTATAAAAGATGAATAGTATATAGATTGTCTGATTTATTGGGAAAAAAATAGAGTAGCATACAAGTTTAATGAAAATATATTTATTGAATGTGAAGAAATGTCATGATTAGTATTGTTGATAATATTAACTTTCTGTAGTTATGATATTTGTTTCTGTAGTATTCGATGCAGTGTCTGTTGTTATATCACTTGGTGCTGTAACACTACTGTCGGTGTTAGTTATTGCTGTTTCATTATCGATGATCGATGTTGAATCATTATAATCGGTCATGTTGATTGTTGTTGCATCTGTGAATGTAATATTTTCAACTGAAAAAGTGCTCGTCATGTCTTCCATTGTTGATTCATCTGTGAAAGTAATATTTTCAGCTGAAAAAGTACTCGTCATATCTTCCATTGTCGATCCATCTGTAAAAGTGGTATCTTCAGCTGAAAAAGTACTCGTCATATCTTCCATTGTTGATCCATCTGTAAACGTGGTATCTTCAGTCGAAAAAATACTCGTCGTATCTTCCATTGTTGATGCACTAGTCTTCCTTGTCGTAGTAGTTTTCGTTGTTGACTTAGTCGTCGCTTTCGTGCTAGTTGTCGATGTTGTTGCTGTAACAAAACATATCAGTCATAGAAGTAAAATCAATCCTGAATAATTCCGAGAAGTCTTTAAAAAGATTAAAGAATAAAAATAATTCATTTTTTTACAAACTTTTCATATTTTACATTGAGTGACAATAAGTATACCGTGAAATATTTAGTATTCTTCGAGTTTCGAATACACGGATGTTTCTATCTCAAACAAAGTCTTTTTTTTCAGTAAAAGTAATATGGAAAATCATTCTGAAAAGTTAAACTGTCTGCTATCAAAAGATCGTATCTAAATTAAGACTTTACTTCTGGTGGTGGTGGTGGTAGTGGTGGTAGTAGTAGTGGAGGTAGTGGTGCTGGTGGTAGTAGTAGTAGTAGTGGTGGTGGTGGTGGTGGTGGTGGTGGTAGTTGGGTTTGATTTTTTCCAAGGGCTCAAAAGCACCAATACCATAGCAATCATAGCAAGTAGGATAAGGACTACAATTAATAAAAATACAGTACGACGACGTCGCGTCCTAAGTGTAGATCGCCAGAAACGTCTTCTAGAAATAAAAGAAAATCATTAAATTCATTTTTTTTTATTTGAATCATAGAGAATCAACGTACATATGAGAATGTAGATCGTGTGTACGGAGTACTGAAGCAGCAGATTGATCATTTGGTTGATAAGCATTTGCGTTTCGCATTATGAAAATCTACAAAATAATAGTAACTTAACGGTCTAGCATAACATGATCAAATGATTCCATAAAAAGTATATATGTAAATTTTCTCTTCAAGTAAAATAATAATTTTACTTTGAAATAGGAGCATATATATTGTATCTTTATTTGATGATGTTTTTCTTCTATTTTATCAAGTAATTCTATTTGCTATAGATTCTATTGCTATAAATATTATAAAAATTTTGATATTGATGTTGTTCAAAAAAATAGTTTATTGGTTAATTTCATTATGAGATAAACAAGGAACGTGTTTTTTTTTTCAATTAACATATTTGTGCTCGTTTATTTGCAAGTTTAAAATATGTCATTGTTGCACGTTTGATATACGTATTTGTGTAGGTTTTTTTTTCTAATAAAACTAAATGTAAAAGAGTATCATATGACACTTTGTTTTTATTTTGATAATTCATAAATCCCATACAAGGAAATATCTTTGATGGTTTTTGGGAAATAATACTCAAGTGTTTCGAATAAAAAAAACAGATACTATATTAATTAAAGTTTTATACAGGTTTAAAATACAACTAGATCTTGATGGAGCTATTTTTGAATGCTTCGGATCGAATATCGTGAGAAATTTTAATGTACAGGCGCTATGAAGAGGCTTAATTTCTTTTGAATTTGATCGAATTGAATCATTTATCGAACTTATGAAAAGAAATTATATATATATTAATCGTATGATGAAAATAATAGTGTTTATTATTGTATCGGAATTCTTCATTGATATTATATTTGAGTCTTTATTAATTTTGGACTACAAATACCTAATTTATCGATGAGACCGCGATAAGAAGTTGAAGAAAGCGATGAAGATCTATCTCGGTAGTCTCGTATGCCACCATTCGTTCTTGGATCTCCGATAATATCATGTATCAATGGATTTGTAGTAGTTGTATCTATTATATAATCGTTCGATTAGTTAACTGGATGAATTGAAACCAAGTAAATCGAATCAACTAAAACTACTATCGTCAGTATCTGTAAATAAATATTTCCTATGAACTTTTGAAAAGTATCCATACTAATAGGACAAATAAGCTAATTACAGCGTTTATACAAAAGTATTAATTAATTCCGTAGACAAAATTCTATAATTTTATGCAGTCAGAACAAGACAATTGATTTAATTTTCTTTTTGATCAATCAGCAATCATACTACTTGAATTATTCTCTTATCTCGTCTTGTATATATCATGTTTCATACAATAAAATACTTTTACAGAATGAAAAAACATGGTTCTATATGGTAATTACAATTGAAAGTCCATCCAACGTTTTCTATTTAGAAGTTTTCTTTTTTTTTCTTCGTGCATTAATGAATATTTTTGTATGGTAAATACTGATATCTGTTTTTGACAAGCAACATCTAAGAAACTACAGTAATATTAAAAAACAGTCTATATGATAATGTATGTAGATTTTTTTCCATGTCTATATATAATTTCGAGGATGTAACGTAGTTAATGTTTATATTGCGTACTAAAAAATTCAAACAAATGAGATTATTAATCTTTTTTTTTAATAGTATTACTCTTAATTCTAAATTGAATGTAGATATATGTTTATTTATTTGTGAATTGTTAATACTTAAATTATATGTTCCCTGATGAAAGACATGATTCTAGATAATAGGGTTAATAGGAAACAGTATCTTCTATTCATCTCACGATGTATTCATTAAGACAAAAAAAGAAATTCTTTTTTTTTCTGTAGATAATTTGTAATGACAAAAAATGGAGATTTATGCAACATGCAATTAATAAGAGAAAAAATAGATATATAATGAAAAAGATCTTTTTTTTTTCTATGATGATACTCAGAATTCATAATATAGCTTCGTAATAACTCAAGTATCAATAAAAAGCAATGTTATATATATATACATGCTTTGTAACTAGAACATTTTCCGAAAAAGAAAAGATTATTATTTTTATGTATTCACAATGACGTTTCATAAATGGTTCGTGACATTTTTTTCTTCTTCTAGAAAGCATGTTATTTGATCCCTTTCTTCTTTCAGAATGCTTTTCTGTTAATTGAATAACTATATATATATTATCTACTTTTTCTTATCATTGAGTGTCGACATCATAATAATAAAAATGATTGTCTTTGAAACACTATCTTCTATATTAATGGTTATATGTAGTATATTTGGTATTGTTTGTGCTTTTCTGTTCATAATTATCGTTCTGACCCATCGTCAATGTCATACATTAACTATTTTACTTGTATTTAATTCTACTATAGCTGGTCTAATTGCCAATACAACATGTATTAGTCAAGCTATTTATCAATTATTAGATGTTGCCAATGATTCATTATGTACTGTTCGTGGTCTTTTCTTACAAGCAGGAACTGGTGTTCTATATCATACTTTATGTGTTCAAGCATTATATCGTTTATTTGTTACTGTCTATTCAGCACGACGATCTTTACAGACAACACGTTTTATTATTCTTGTAGTAGTTATACAATGGATATTTTCTATAAGTTTTGGCCTTCCAATTCTTTTTACTGGCCATATTACATATCAACAAGGAAGTCGTATATGTCAGGTAAAGTCTAACAAATTCTCGATGTATGATCTCTTATTTTTTTTTGTTAGGTTTCATTGGAAGATACAATAGGTTTTATATATTTCGCATCTATTATTTTTTTTATTCCATTACTTATGATTGTTTATATTTATTTTCGTATTGTTAAATATATGAAAGATAATCCATTCTCTACTACGAATCGATCTACTATTAATGGCCAACAACGTCATCAATCTGAACTTCGTCTTATACGTCGAATTCTTACACTTGTTATTATTTTATTTATACTTGGTTTTCCTTATTTTCTGTTTTATCTTTTAATTCATCTTCATATTGTATCGCCATGGTCATATATGCCACGTATTAGTTATTTATTTATTACCTTTGGTCAAAGTGCTAGTATGTTAATTAATTTAATTACAACCGATGATGTGAAAAAATCTTTGATCAATATAATACGAAAATGTTTTGGTAAAAAAAATCCAGCACAACATATAACTCTATAGACAAAAACATTGTGTAATGAAAGATTTTCTTTGTCTTTAAGTAAATTTATTTTTATACAAAGAAGAACAAATAACAAAGTAGATATTCAAGGGTTTTCATTCACATCCACCAGTTGATTCTGCAGCAAGATCTTGTAATTGTTTAGCTAATTTTTTTCGTTGTGCTATTGATTGTATACCAACACCACTTGAATATCGTGATAGACCATCATCATCACTACTTTCATTTGAATCAGATGAATCAGAAAAACCATCAGTTGGACCTATACCAGGTAAACGACCACCTGGAATAAGTAAACGTGGTAAACGAGCTGGTGGTTGTAATATTGTTTGTTTCTCTTTATCTTCAATATCATCATCATCATCATCTTCTAATGGACGTTTCAATGATTCATTTGTTACACTAAAAAAATAATCGTTTCTTTTTAATAAATGAATAGATTAAATATACCCTTTTCGTTTAACAATCCCAGTAAGTAACTGCTTTTGTTTATTGACTGCTGGTGGTTGTGCAACATGTGGTTTAGCTGATGTTGAACGAGTATTTGCTGTAGTTGTTTCGAATTCTTTTTGAGCTTTGTATAGTAAGGAGTTAAGGAAAAAAAAATAAGAATACTAAAAATAAATTTTTTATCTAATGTCACAAAATAAAAAAGGATATTTTTAATTCTTCAATTTCTTCTTGTTCAAGTTGTTTTAATCGACGATTTTTATCAATTTTTGCTTGATCAATACGAGCTAAAAAAGTTGTTTCATCTTCATCAAGACCACGAATTGAATTTTCTAAATAGAATTAATGATTTAATATTGAAAATAAAAACTTCATTTTCTATTTACTTGCTGCCCACATATTTTCAAATTCTTGCTTTTTAGCATCATGTTGAGTTTTAAGTTTTTCATAAAGAGATCTTGAATCAAATACTTCAGCTGGGGCTTCTGTATAATTTCCAAAAAATAAAGTAAAATCAACTAAAATCAATCTTTCTTATATTACCAATTGGATCAGCTGCTGAACGTACACGTTCCCAATCAGCTTGTCGTTGTTGTCGTTCGACTTCAATTTGTTCTTCACTTAGAAATTGTTTTAACTTTGTCGATGAGAAAGGTTGATCACTCATTTTAACGTATTCAACAATGTAATAACTTAAAAAAGAGTAGAATAGATCATTCTATTCTACCTATTGGATAATGATTTCTAACCAAACATGATACGACGGAAGATGTCACTTGATTATACACTATTAAGAAGTTATAAATCTAATTTGATAAATGTGCTTTAAAAGATCTAGACACAATCTCTATAGAATTAAATTTCGTATTATAATACAGCTATTCGTTGTATAACCAAAAGAATTGTATAGTATACCATGCGTTTCTATTAGTTATGCACTTTTTGTATAAATCGAATCGAACGAAGAATATAAATCTTTGAGATTCTGTTTGTTATACTTGGTTTCAACATCTATAAAAGTATATCTGGATTGATTTTCTCTCAATGATCTAATTTTTAATGAATCCGATGAAATCTTCAAGATTGTGAAATAACTGTTCTTTCGGTGAATGAAAGATGTATTGTTATTTATTTTCATAGTCACATCACCCTCGAAACATGTAAAATAATACTGATTTTAGAATTCAGAAGGAAAAAACCAAGTTACAATTTATCATCGTTTAAAAAAGTCATAAATTCTTCATTATTTACCTTTGAGAACGCAAAACTTTCACTAATAAAAGCTTCTATTCATCCACGTGTATTGTTGTAAAAGCAATATTTTTTCTTTTTCTGCGAACAAAATACATTGCATCACTTGAGACATAAAGAAAAGAAACGTTTCAATCTATAGGTAAACAAGGTAACTTCCAGATTATTTTTCTTTCATTTAAATTTTTGCATTGTGAAAAAGTATAAATTGACATGGAAAAAAAGAGAACTCAATAAGTTAAATACACAGCAAGCAAAAGAAAGGTAAGAAATATAAGTGTACATATATAAAAAAATATGACACATTGGCTATACTTTAAAATACATTTTTTTATATTATTGTGAGAAATAGAAATACAGATTTTTACTGATTATTTATATTTTAGATTAGTATCTCAATCCAAATTTTTGAGTTTATTGTGCGTCTTTTGAAATAATTATAATGGTCGTAAAGAAATTTCCTAATGGTGATAAATATGATGGAGGATGGAAAAATGATATGAAAAATGGTGAAGGAACTCTAGTTTATGCGGATGGAGGACAATATGCAGGCAGTTGGATCGATGATGAGAGAAATGGTCATGGAGTAAATAAATGGTCCGACGGTCGTGTTTATACTGGAGATTGGCAGGATAATAAGCAGCATGGTGATGGAACAATGACTTATAATGACGGTGGTAAATATGTAGGTGAATGGGAAAATGACATGAGAAATGGTCATGGTGTTAATAGATGGTCGAACGGAGATGAATATGATGGATCTTGGGTAGATAACGAACGGCAAGGTCAAGGAACATTTATTTATAATAGTAAAGGTAATAAATACATTGGTGAATGGTCAGAAAATATGAGACATGGATATGGAACGAATACATGGGCTAACGGTGATCGTTATGAAGGTATGTGGGCGAATAATGAAAAACATGGCAAAGGAACATTAACTCATTCCAATGGAAGCAAAGAAGATGGTACTTGGACAAAAAATAAATTAAATAATGCACCATCTAAAGACGTACAAGCAGCTACTAAAAAATTTAATTCAAAAGATGCATTACAATTCAAAGGTTTATGGCTTAATGGTCAACCATTTATAATCTGCTTAATGCCTAGAGTAGCTGGTTGTTCTTATCAAGCACTTGCACGTGAATATCTTAGTTCATTAAATTGGGATAAAGAATTTTTTGATCATGCAAATGATCGTTGTTATTGCAGTCGTTGCTATAAAGAAACATGGAAAGATGTTATCGATGCTGGTAATAGTCAATATGTTATACCTCGTGGATGGGTACGTTTTGGATTGCAACTTGATCCAGTTATTAT